GCCGGGAAACTAGAGCCCTTTGACTTATTTCCACCCAGCCGACAGTGGGACTTATATTCATTGTGCCGACAGTGGCTTGGAAAACCGCCCATAACCGTGTCACACGGGGAAGAGGGAAGGCGACTGGAGTTCCTCCAACATTTGCGGTTAGATTATCATATATTTTTAATGACAAAAATATGGGCTGCTTCGGCTGATTTTTTTTATGCGCACATGTGCCCCTAAATATTTTTTACAGTTCGCACACACATATTTTTAGTCGAGTGAAACGCTCGCACTGTAGAGCGCTGGATCTGACAGCCTGAGCACATCGGCACAAAATGCTACGACGTTCGAGATATTATTTATATCATGAGAAGTCAATACTTTCGGCAGCCTAACTCTTTTATTTAGAAACTATGGCAGGTCAAATTAAACTATGGCGGGCCGCCATAGTTTCATTAATTAATGGGAAACACTGCAGTGGCCTGGCAGCAGGCTGGCCAACTGAGCGGTCTTCCTGCACCCAAACCCTGCATCTGGCACGGTTGGTCGAGCATATGGTTGCATCTGGTGCCTGGGCATCGGTACAGTGGCACACAGCGTCTGGCGGTGTCACAGACCATTGAATACACAAGATGTTGTACATTTGTTTAAAGTTCATTGGTGTTTTTTCGTATATACACACATTGGGTATTTTCTGTTGGTAATACACCTGATGGCAGGGATGTCTCATTTCGAATACCAGGGAGATGCTTGTGGACCTGCATCTGCTCTGTCTCCTGGGGCCCCTCGCAGTTTGTCTTAAAGGGTTCCCATAGTTATGATATAACTACTGGGTGGGGAGATAATCTCAATATGATACCCTGAGTGAGGAGATTATCTCCCCAGGCTCAAGGCTGCTCGGCACCCATTCCAATCAGTGTTAATCAGTGGGTGCATGCGCAAGGTAGGGCTTTTATAACCCAGTGCATGCTGGCCATGTAAAGTGCTGTGTCTTAAAGATTATTAATTTTCCATGTCGATTACCCCAGATGGGGATAATTCCCATATTTATGATGTAACTACAGGGCGGGCAGATAATCTCCAAGGTTACAATGTAACTGCACAGTTAGTACGTTACATTAGCTAAAATAACTCAGTGTTGACTTTTGGTTATATATATATATATATATATATATATATATATAATGTGTATATAATGTCTCTTGATGCAGCGGCTCCACCACACCACTACATGGCGCACGAGTTGAGTTTAAGTCGTTATACCTTTTCAGTGTTGAGCAGTGTTAGAAGAACAATATGCAGACTTAAAGTAGTGAACAACAACAAGGTTAAAGTTTAATAGAGCATAGGAAACATGTGTCTGTAAGTACAAATATATTGTTGTTAAAATATAGTTTATTTGCTTATGTTATGTAGAGTTGCTCACTTGCACTTAATTGTTTGTCATTGTAATGCCTTTGCGGCACCGATGCTAATTTCTGTTAGCGCGTCTATGAAGATTTCCATTATATGTTAGCATTATGCTAGCGGACCATGCGCTAATTGTTTTTCCACATTTGTAGCACTAATGCCAGCTATATTTTGAGTTAACTTCTGTCTTCTTTTTATTAAGTAAAGAAGCTCCAGGTCATGTTCATTTGATGACGATTAGGCATGTAGAAGCTTCAGTGTTGATTGGCTATCACTTGTGCTGTGTAACCAACCAATGTAACCAATCAGTGGGTGCTGTAGGCAGGACACTGTTAAGGCTCATTTATGCTCCCTTTACGTACAAAAATGTATACGTCCGTTTCAAACAATGTTACCATCACTGCCCACATACTTCCATGCGCCCTTTACGTTGGCATGGATGTTAACCAATATATTCACCAGGAGGCAGCCCAGCGTCAAAAGTTTATGACAAAAACAAACATGATGACTGTGGAGGAGATATTGATAATGTACCTCTTGCATAAAAGACAAAAACAGAGGCAGCGTTGTAGGAGGCGGTGGTCGGTGAGGCCGTTAAATACATCGCAACTGGAGGACGGAGAATTCTTTTCTCTAGTACTGCCGATGAGAGAAATTGAATTGTTATTTCTTCTTCGTGTCTCACTAGAGCTACGTATCGGGTAGTGACAGCAACACTGCCCCCACGGTTCCCGGTGGTACTGCTCCGTTTGGCCCGTATCCGTAAGCTTTATGGAAACGTGCAGAAATACGGGCGAAATGAACGCAGAGCACGGACAGAAGGCTCCGTCCGTATCCGGATCCGTATTTAACGTTGAGCATAAATGAGCCCTTACACAGCCAAGACTGGGGACTTCAGGCATAGAGACAGCTGTATCAGAGCCAGAGGAGCGTGTTTTAAAATAAATGTATTGTATCGGTTATTGGTGAAAAAAACAGCCTAAAATAAATAGAAAAATATCAATTCTGGGGAGAAAATCGATTTTTAGAATCGTATGAGAAAAAAAATTGAGATTAAAATAAAAATTGATTTTTTTTCCCACCCCTAATGAATAGCATTACAGATAAAAGGAAAATGTGGTTTTGATTTTGGGGTGAACTTTCTCTTTAAAAACATTACATATATAATTCATCAAACTGTCATTTTACTTTATCCTCTTATTAACACACAGATGGATAGGTGTTATCATCATTATTATTATTATTATTATTATTATTATTACACTAATATATATTGCGATAAAGCAGTCACTCCATTTTTGGGGGATACATGTTACCTCGAAAAGAAAATAGACAGAACATAAGACACAACTAAACTTACAATTTTTTCAGTCTTGCCAGTGACTCCGCTCCCTCCCTCTGTGCTTCTTAGAACATTGATGAAGTCTTTTTTAGAGACAGATGAAAGAAGCTTGGCCTTCTTCCTCTCTGAGCCACCAACGTCCTTCACCCTGTTATCGATTGTTTTCTGGTGTTTCCTCACAGCATTGAACAGCTGCACCACCCCTCTGAAGAGAAAGATACACACTGGGATAAGAAATGAAACTTGTTTCCGGAAAGTGTTCAACAGAGCCTCACAGAAAAATGTATAGACACCTGGTAGCAGTTCTCTGTAGAGCTCTTTCAGTCTCACGGTCCTTCACTACATCAGGTTTTTCCCGGCACATCGTCTCCCACACACGCTTCTTGTCAACCTGATGGACACAGGTACAAAATCAGTTCTTACATTTAGATCCCTAAACTTTCCATGCTGGAGAACATCAAGTAAAAACCATCTGTCAGCAATTATTTCTGTAGTATTCCTACAAGCAATTTGTACATTATTTCCACATGTTAAATTTCCTATCTTTATTGAGCAGCTTTTCAGACTCTCTAGTGACATAAATAAGCCCCTGCTACTGTGACCTCTGCAAGTGCAGTTTGTTGAGTACTCATTACATTGCAAGGTTCTCAGGATGGTTGCGAACATTAAATTTGTGATCAATCAATTTTATTTATAAAGCCCAGTATCACAAATCACAATTTGCCTCACAGGGCTTTACAGCATACAATATCCCTCTGTCCTTAGGACCCTCGCAGCGGATAAGGAAAAACTCCCCAAAAAAACCCTTTAACAGGGAAAAAAATGGTAGAAACCTCAGGAAGAGCAACTGAGGAAGGATCCCTCTTCCAGGACGGACGTGCAATAGATGTCGTACAGAACGATCAACATGATAAATTAACAGCAATCCGTATGACACAACGAGACAGAGAGATAGAAAGAGACAGAGAGATGCTGGACAGATGGTAATGAAAGCAGCTTACAACAACATTAATTAAAGTAATAATATTATAATTCTAATTACAGCTATTGTGGTACAATATGTAGTATTAAGTATTAATGATAGTCTGATAGTATACATATGTGACAATAATCATATGTGTATAATAACAGTAATGAAAACAGCAGCAGGAGGCATCAGGCAGGACCACGGCAGCAGCACAACCACACAGCTCACACTACCCAAGCACTGCTGCGATATAAGTTAACCTACGAGACAGTGGAGCACAAAGGCTCTGGAGAAGAAGCCGAGTCAGTGACATGCAGTACTTCTGAGTTAGCAAGATGCAGTAACAGGACATGAGTGTTAGCAAAGGAGAGAGAGAGAGAGAGAGAGAGAGAGAGAAGGTGCTCAGTGTATTATAGGAGGTCCCCCGTCACACTAGGCCTAAGTCAGCCTAACTAGGGGCTGGTACAGGGCAAGCCTGAGCCAGCCCTAACTATAAGCTTTATCAGAAAGGAAAGTCTTAAGTCTAGTCTTAAATATGGAGATGGTGTCTGCCTCACGGGCAAAAACAGGAAGATGATTCCACTGGAGAGGAGCCTGATAGCTGAAGGCTCTGGCTCCTGATCTACTTTTGGAGACTTTTGGGACCACGAGTAACCCTGCATTCTCAGAGCGCAGTGTTCTGGTGAGATAATATGGCACTATGAGCTCTCTAAGTTATGACGGAGCCTGACCATGTAAAGCTTTGTACGTTAGATTTTAAATTCAATTCTGGATTTTACAGGGAGCCAGTGCAGAGAAGCTAAAACAGGAGAAATATGATTTTGTTTCTTAGTTCCTGTTAGTACATGTGACGCTGTGTTCTGAATTAGCTGGAGAGTTTTTAAAGACTTACTAGAGCTACCTGATAATAGGGAGTTACAGTAATCCAGCCTTGAGGTAACAAAAGCGTGGACCAATTTTTCTGCATCTTTTCGGGTCAGGATGGGCCTAATTTTCGCAATATTATGCAGATGAAAAAAACAGTCCGTGAGGTTTGTTTTAAATGGGAATTAAAACCATGAGACATCTGCAAGCACTAGATGGGAGGCGTTCAAGGCCTTTCTTAAAGGCCAGATAATTAACTTCACAAGCTCCAAATCTAAAAAAGCCAAACAAAAAATATTATTATTAGAGGCAAAAATTAAAATGATGTAGGATATTTATTTCAGAAACCCATGTCCTAAGATTCATCAGGATCTATTACTTTTGAGAGCACAATACAATGAAATTACAGCATCCAAAGCGGCTGCTAACTTATTAAAACTGAAACAATGCATTTTTGATCAAGGGGAAAAAACGGGGAAAATTCTAGCTTGGCGTATAAAACAACATCAAACTGAAAGGTCTATCACCATTCTTAAAAATGATAAGGGGGAACTCATCGTAGATCCTGTTGCCATAAATGACAAATTCAAAGACTTTTATGAAAGACTCTACAGCTCTGAAATAAATGTAGGGCTAATGGATCATAGCTCATATTCATTCCTAAACAAGCTTAGTTTCCCCCAAATAGAGGAATGTGAAAGGTCATCGCTGGGGGCAAATTTGACATTGGAAGAGATCTCGGCAGCAGTAAGATGCATGAATTCTGGAAAAGCAGCAGGGCCAGATGGCCTACCCATCAAAATTTATAAAAAATCTGAATCAAAACTTAGAACACCCCTCATCGAAATGTTTTCAGAGTCTCTTCAAAAGGGGATACTCCCTCCCTCCTTGAAGGGTGCCCTGATTTCTCTACTCCCAAAGCCCGGTAAAGCCAACAATAAATGCGAAAACATGAGGCCGATCAGCCTTTTGAACTCGGACCTGAAAATACTCTGCAAAATTTTGGCCAGAAGATTGGAGTCTATATTACCAGGTCTAATAATGGAAGACCAGAATGGCTTTGTGATTTGCCGCCAGGGATTCCACAACGTGAGAAGGGTCTTGAACATCTTGCATGACCAGAGGGGAGCGTCAGATACAGCCTTCTTAGCACTAGATGCTGAGAAGGCTTTTGACAGAGGGGAATGGACTTATTTATTTGAAATTATTGGACGCTTTGGCCTGGGGGAGGGTTTTTGTAACTGGTTAAACTTTTGTACAATAATCCCTATGCAGGAATTATTACCAACAACAATATTTCAAAACCAGTAATGATCAATAGAGGCTGTAGACAGGACTGTCCTCTATCCCCCCTACTATTCATAATTGCAATCGAACCATTCGCAATTGCTGTGAGAGAGCATAACATGATTACAGGTATAAGGATGGGAGAAATTGACCATCGAATAGCTCTTTACGCTGACGATATTATTTTTTTTCTTAGAAAATTGGACAGATCTATCCCATCCCTCCTAGACTTAATCAGGTTATTTGGCAAAATCTCGGGCTATAAAATTAATAATTCAAAATCCTCCATAATGCTTCTCAACTCGGAGGAGAGGACTAATCCACCTATCTCTGCTCGCCATTTCAGAATAGTGGATTCTTTTACTTACCTGGGTATCCAAATCACCCCTAAACTAGAAAATATAGTGAATGTTAATGACAGCCCAGTGACTACATCTATTTCTAAAACTGTCGAAAGATGGTCTAGCCTCCACGTCTCTCTCATAGGTAGAATCAACATACTCAAAATGAACATGAATGAACTCCCCAAACTCCTTTATTTATTTCAAATATCCCACTGCCACCTCCTCCAAACTTTTTCCCCAGAATGAAAAATCTATTCACTAACTTCTTATGGAACAATAAGCGCCCCAGACTTCGTTTATCTATTTTATACTTACCCTATGACAGATAAAGGCTACAGTGCCCTAATATGCTATGGTACTACTGGTCAGTCCAGCTAAGGACGCTTATGTTTTATTTCACCACAGATGGATCCCTACCATGGAGGGATATTGAGTCACACTCCCTAAAGCTTCCATTTCCCACTTACTTATACTCAGATAAACCTAAAAAACTCAAAAAGTTCTCCACTAATCCTTTAGTCCAAAACATGATAGGAGTCTGGCAAGAAGTCAGGAAATATCTAAAAGATTCCCCTTCCCTTTCCTGTTTCAGCCCAATCTGGCGTAATAACTTTTTCAGTCCAGGAAAAGCAGATGCAGGTTTTAAACTGTGGGCGGATAGAGGCGTAAAACAAATAAAAGACATTTATGGTAAGAATGGGAATATCTTAACATTCGAGGAGCTAATCAGGAAATACAATATCCCTCGCAAACATTTTTTCAAATACCTTCAGTTAAGGAGTTTTATTAGAGCAAATCAAAACCAATACATGTCCTGTCCGCCCCTGACCCTATTGGAGAAAATTCTTATAAAAAATCCTTTCGGAAAGGGCATCATCTCTGAATTTTATGATTTACTGAAAGCCTCCTCAACTGAGTCTTCTGACTCTAAGTTTGATGCATGGAAATCAGATCTACAGGAGGAATTAACACTGGAACAGTGGCGAGGCACGTGTAAAGCAGCCCAGACAGGGACGGATAATACTCACTTAAAAATCCTACAATATAACTGGCTGATGAGGGTGTATATCACTCCAGAAAAATTGAATAAATTTAATGTGAATATTCCAGACACTTGTAATAGGTGTGGTGTAAATAAGGGCACTATTTTTCACTGCTTATGGCAGTGCCCAAGAGTGGGGGAGTTTTGGGAAGAGGTTAGATTAAATGTGCAGGACATCCTCTCAATCAGATTAGAGCTAGAGCCCAAACTCTTTCTACTTGGCCTCTACCCAGATGTACATAATGTAAAATGTCATAAAAAAATCTTTTTAAACGTGTTTTTTACAAGCAAAGAGGACAATAGCTCTAACATGGAAAAGCACGAGTAAGCCAGGTATTGCCATTTGGTTTAGGGAATTATCTTGCTTTCTTACATTCTTAAGGACAAACAGGAGACATTTCAAAAAGTGTGGGGTCGATTTATCCAATATACTAAAAACAATGATCTATCTCATCTGTTGAATGAACCTGGAGTAGCATAAGTGCACCCTCGGCATAACTGTTTCCTCATCCTTTACTCACTGGATTTTACGGCAATGATATTTGTATGGACTCATGATCCTATATCTTTACAGAAGCATTCTATTAACCACCATTTTTTGGTTTGTTTTTCTGTTGTTGGGTTGTTTTTTGTTTGTTTGTTGTTGTTTTTGTTTCTCTTCTGTCCCATTTTGTTTGGACTGATATAGTGACCATATGTGTGCAAAGGGGAAAACCTAATGTAGGGTTTAATATTTTTGTTTCATTGAATGTCCCCGTCGTACAAGGACCTGTATGTTAACACACTGTCTCATTTGTGTCACTTTGTTGGCCTTTTGTTTTGTCTTGATTTCTAAATTTGGAAAACTCAATAAAGATATTGTTGAAAAAAAAAGGGAATTAAAAGAC